CATACTAAATTTGAGCAGTATGTACCTAGAACCAACCTTGCTGGCGCTTAATAGGGAATCTGGGGATTTTCGCCCTATAGTCCCTACATAATATGTGCCCTTATCCTCCACTAAGCACCAGTAAGCACCTGTTACATACCGGCTGTCGTAGTCATGTAGCACCGCTGGCTGGCTACCTAAATCACAGCTTCGTGCCTGGTATCGAGAAGCGAGCACTTCCAGCCTCATAGGGCTTAGGTTTTAGGGGTTTGGGGGTTTAGGTCTAGGGTTTAGGGCTGGCTTTGGGGTTTTGGGTTTCAGGGTGTAGGGCATAACACGTAAAGTTTACCTAGCCACCCTCTTTATACCAACCCCTCAAGTTTCCCCCCTGAGTCAGGTTTCTCTAGGTTTAGGGTCTAGGCTTTTAATTAGGGGTATTTAAGGGAAAACCTTGGCAGTGGGAGTATGGGGGCCATTGTTGGGAGAACTACAAGGGGAGTTGAGTTGTGAATCCCTCGAATATGCTATGCAAAATCCCTACATGGCGCCTAAACACCTTATTCCTGATGGACTCTTCTGGCACTCTAGTTGACTAAGGTGATGCAGGTTCTCCCGTATCAAAGCGGCACCTGCTTTCACTCCTCCGTCACTCAACCACAAGTTATTGGCAAAGAGGCGGGAAGACTCACCGAGTAAGGCGTTTGACGCACAGAACCCACACTTGTACTGCTGAAGCTCAACATGCTTCATGACCTTGATATACTATAGTAGCATAACTCCCAAGCATATAGTACTTTGGGTCATGCAAGACTTCTTCGTATCCACCGAGATTCCTGTTTCTTCGCCACTTGGGGCCTTTCAGGTCGACTCCCTGCCACTAATGCAACTTGGGCGCTGGCCAAAACCATAATCCTGAGGGATGCGGGCTAGGGTTTAGGGTTGGTTTAGGGCTTAGTCATGGCTATTGCTTATTGTGATAACTGTTGTGATGACTGTTGTGGTCCAGTCCTTTAGCGTTTCTACCCCTCTAACCCCACCCACCACTACTACTACTACTACTACTACTACCACTACTACTACTACTACTACTATGCTGCTAACAAAGTTTACGAGTGCCAGGTGTGCGTTGGTCTCGTCCCACGGGATTGCGACATTCTTACTGAGGATTAGTACGGAAAAAGGGAATACAGTACAAAGGGATTTTGTAGGGATTCTAATCTCTTATCCCTACCAACCACCCTCAAGTTAAGGCCTGGTCTTCAGGCTTAGGATTGTCGGCTGCTGCGTTTTGTTTTAGGGTTGCTGCGATTTTGGGGTCGGATGGGTTGGGGCCTGATGCATGCCTAGATGTTTTGGCGAAGGAAGGGAGCCACAACTCTCCGCCGCTAGTGGAAATCTGATTTTGTCCAAGAATGTCTGGAGTATGTGACCCCTGCAAACCAACCTCGCAGAGAAGAAGCTAGAAGAAGCACAGATAATCATAGCCCTAAACCCGAACCCCTAAACATTAGGCCCTAAACCCAAAACTCAAAACCCTAAGCCCCAAACCCGAAGCCCTGAACCCTAAACCCTAGGATCCTTTTTATGGGTTGCGGGAACACAGCTCCCTTACTCGTCTCCTCCCCTACAAATCACCTTCCCTCAGGCCTAATTATCTCTAAGTATTCTTAATTATAGGAGGAACCTAGGAGGGGTAGTATATAGGGGGGCAGTAGGGGAACTAATGAAATTCGCACCATGATATGATCGCAGGAATAGTATTTTGGTCAGGCGGATGGGAAGTTCGGGTTTGGGGGGGATTTGGATCCCAAAATAACCATGTACCGTACCCTGGTATCCTTTTCATTTTCCAATTGATTCTCCATTTCTGCGGTAACATGTCCCTAAACCCTCAATCGTAAATACTGTGGCAGTCTCCATTCTCTGTATATCCCTTCACATATCGCTCTATAAACCACCCCGCTTCCTGAATCCTACACGCCGATCCCTAAACCCTAGACCAAAATGGCTACACCCTTCACGCTACTAAGCCCTAATCCCTTAATCCAATGACGCACACCCCCTAAACCCTACTAACCCTAATCCCTTAACCCTATAACCCTACATCCGAAGCTTGTCTGCAACCCTTATCCATTACAGTAGCCCCAGAACCCTACTGGATTCCGACGAGGCGCAGAAATTCCCAGGAAGCCAACCGTAGCCAGCTCGCGCCGCGCCAAGGGCCCTATTTCAAGCACACGCTTTTAAGGGTTTAACTTAAGGGCTCCCCAAACCCCCTGAAGAATGACATCCTATATATGATGTAACGTGAAATATGTAATGTGGTAGAATATGATATATTGCAATATTCAATTTGGAGACCCAGGGCCCCGAAGCGATGCAAAAAATGGAAGCCTCAAAAATGAGCCCGCAATGGAGAAGGCAGGGTATTTCTTGGGACGTGTTCTTTTTGGATTCTTCCGGGTGCAGGGCCCACTCCCTGCCACGCACCAGTATTATCTTTAGGGTTTATAGTCCCCCTTAAGTAGATAAAATTCATATGGCTTTGGGTATATTACAATAAGATCCCCATATACCCTATATTCTATCTACTTAAGGACTTAAGGGGGACTATAGCATCTAGGGTTCAGGGTTCCCCTCGGGACGCCTTCCTCCGGACTTTCGCCGGATTCCGGCGCTGCTGCCATGGCTGGAGGGTCTTTGTAAAACCCGAAATGAAAAGCGTTTTTTTTGGTGGTTGAACCTAGCAAGATTATGTTCCTTATATAGAAAACTATACCCCAAAAGGAGAATAGAATCTTACTCTATATTGGGTACCATAGTATCCCCAAATAGAATACTACTCAAATGAGCCCATTACGACATGTGGGCAACTGGGGCTCTTTTTGGGATCCTTTAAGGAACCTGTTAGAGGGTCGGGGTCTTGTAAGGGTTGATTACAGGACTTGGGGATCTACCTCCTAGGTAGCCCCCTTACTAAGAAAAACATTATGAGCTGAGTCAAGACTCCCAGTATCCCCCTAGAAAATACTTACCTATATACCCCCCTTTAAGACTATAGCTCACATAAGGGGAGGGGGAGAATGACCACATGTGCTTTCAGGATGCTCTGAGTGTTCACTCCTTGGCACAATCCCTACATTGCTGGAAAAAGGCTTAGGGCTCAGGGTTGCGCGATACACTGTTATCTGAAACGGCAGCTGGGGGATGTAGGTTTAAACCTGGCCACATCATGACTGTTTTGCTACGAGCCATAGCTGAGGGAACCTCACACTCACTGCTGCGTGCACTGAAGGCACTAGGAGTAATTAACTCTGTGAGCTACATATCGCGTATGTTTAAACAGTACGCACATGCGACGTCAAGGCGTCCTACTGTGCACAAAGTATGGCAATGGCACTTGAGTACTGGGTTTAGGGATATAGGGGTATCTATAGGGAGAATGGAAAGAAAATGGAAACTAGCATTTCGGGGCTGAGGGTTTAGGGATATTACCTTGATAATGGAGAATCAAATGGAAAAGAACATGGAAAATGAAATTTAAACCATCTCTTCAGGATGCTACAAGGAACTGGGTTTAAGGTTTACTGATAGTGCAATCGTCGAAATTCTTGAGCACAGTCCATCTGAACCCTTTTTATTCCCCCCCCCCTGTTAAGGCTCTGTACATCCAGATTTGTTGGGAATGCTAAAAGTCCTGAATGACCCCCAGTGCCTCACAAACTACGGTAATTTTCATATTCGCTGCAGGGAATCTTCCACCTCTCATCCTGGCAAGGCCAAATACTACTCAAAAGGTGTCTTGGGTACCATAGTCTCCCCAAATAAAATACTACTCGCTTGAAGGTTCATGAAACCGGAATTTTAACTAAGTTGTAATCCTGTGGTTGGACTTGTGTAGGTTAGCCCAATTTTGAATAGGTTTAAAGCCCTGCAACAACTCGTTACTAAGCCCCACGAACCTCCAAACTGCAATTTTTTTTTCAGCTTCATGCGCGTGCACTTGGACAGGGAGCAGCCAGGACCGTGCCTTTCCAAGTTTGGGAATGCAGCAAGGAAACCCCTAAACCCTAAACCCTAAAAAGGAAACCCCCACGGCCCAGCCACTGGGGTGCTTCTTCGGCCTAAACCGATCCGCAGCATGATGCCCCAGGAGACCTGGGATATGTTTAGACGCTTGCTGCTGGCCTGGACGTCAACCTCTCTTCCATCTAGCTGTAGTCCCCATAGACCTATAATACATCTACGACTATCAATAATTCTTAAGGGTGCTAGTATAGTAAAGATCAAAGATGACTACAAAGGTGACTCTGGAGGCTACCGTCAGAACACCGTGACTTCAAACAAGCAAGAATAGTGCCTGCAGTGTCAGTGCTCGTGGAGATACGAAGATCGTATGTTTAAGGAAGTCTTCAGGTGGATAGCCTTTCGTAAGGCGTATATACGGCTTATATGGGGACATTAGGACTGTATGAGGGCTACGTATGGCCTAAACGGGGTAAACTACCCACCTGAAGCTTCTTGAAGTGGAGTAGGGGTTTATGGAATTTTGACCCCTCGAATGGAGAATCAACTGCAAAAGCCAATGGATAGCGACATGGAAACTGACATGGGAACACTTCAGGTAGAGATGGTAGGCTGTCAAAAGTCGGTCCCTTTATTCCATGGGGAACTCGGAACCCTAGTAAAAATTAGAAATTTTGCTAGCCCTATAAGGATTATAATAAGAAAAAGTTTTTTTTTTTTTAAAAAAAAAAACATGTCCAAGTACCCCTTCGTATTGGTGTACCTTTGATAGTTATACAGCAGGGCCAGACTCTGTTGAGAACCCAGAAAGAACCATTAATTTGACAACCTACCCATTTCTAGGTTTTTTGCCCTAGAGTATCCAGCTTCCATTTCATTTTCCACTTGCTTTCCATGTGATTTTCTATTACTGGGGTTCAATGCTACAGGTGTCTGAGCCCTTCCTATTATCCCTACCCTAAATTCAACGTAATTTGTCATGCTCGCCAGGCAGCTATTCGGGCTCGTACCCTCTGGCGCCTTCGTCGAAACCTTGTCGCAGAGCATGATGCCAAGGGAGCCCGCGCTATGGAAGTTCCAATGACTAGCAGAAACCCTAAACCCTATATAACCCCGATGTACTATAGTAATTTCCATGTTTTCTATTATCCGAATATGACTCCTATATAACCCCGTAAACCACTAGCTGCCATGCTGGAAGTCTAGACCCTTAATTCGGACGAGGGAGCTCTACGGCTACCGAATACATGTACCGTGCCACCCCGTCAGGTGGACATGCCTTGTATCCCTGCCAGCTACACGAATGAAAAGCAGACGTCAAGTATTCTCACCAAACCCAACCCAGTATCTCTTGTAGCAAGTCCATTATGTGAAGAAGTCAATCGCAAACTTAGAGCCCTGCCGTGCGGGTGTAGTCACTCTGCCAAGAAACTTTCAGCGGCACGCTCCTTGGCGCTCGAAATCGCCTTGAGGGCATCTTCCTGTCCAATCACAGAATTGCGGTGAATTCGCTTGGGAAAGCTGCAGGCGCGCGACCTTCTTCTGGCTTTAGTAGCGTATGAGAAGTACTTGTGCTGGTTGAGCCAAGTAAGACAATGTCCCGCTTATACCGTACTCTTATGAAGAAGAGCTATATTAGCTAAATCAAGCAGTATTTAGAGTATCCTCATTTCAACTACTACATAACCCCGGCTTTCATGTCATTTGCTTACCCATGTTCCAAAAAGCAACCCAGTCAACTCACTGCGAATTTTGCATTAAGCCTGCACAACTCTCAGACCACAAAAACGCAAAAAATAGAAAAATGTGTGTGGCCACCTGGGTCAGGATGTATACATATTTCTGAGACACTAGTGCTATCTGTAATAGTAACTATAACGGACTACAGGATGTCAGATGGGAATGACTTGAGCCCTTCCCTACAACGTCAGCCATGATTGCAGGAATACCTTAGGTGGACCCCTTACCCTTTAATAGTGGTATAATACAGTAGACGAGTCCAACGGAACCTAAATATAATCACCACTATCCATTATAGTGACGGTCTTGCACTTGGAATATGGAAAAAAAAAAGGAAATGGCTTGGAATATGGATTTTGGGTTTTGCAAATCCTTTTTTT